TGTACTTTGTGTCATATTTTTGTGGTTTAAAAAAAAAATACCTATGGTTCAGAACGGATTAATCATATTTACATTGAACCTTATGGGAAAATTTGATTCGGGTCACGACCAATTCAGGGCGCGACCAGATTCGCGGAACGAATTAAGTTCGTGACCCGAGGTACCACTGTATATATAATTAGAGATTTAATTGGAATAATTTTTAACGTAAAAATCAGTTGGTATAAGGTGCCTGACAGACACTGAGAAAGTTGTCTACAGGCATCTGCATGAGGTTTAGATCCTTTTCCTATGAGGGCTTGGACCTAAAATTAGCTCAAACAGACTGTACGATTCGGGAAAGATATAAGCTAGTCTTCTGTTACTTGATTGTTCTTTAAATATGTTGAACTACAACTCCCATCACCTCTAACTAACATGCCCATTGGGGATAGGGCATGATATGGCACATATCATAGCTTTTTTTCTAACAGTATCTTATCTGGTTAGAGTTCTCACTTCCTAGCTAGTAGGATACTGTGAGTGTATGAGCTACACTGAGGGAGGAGAAAAGACCTTCCCCTGTGATGATCACTCTTACCCCTCTGTCAGGGTAAGATCATGGCTGGGGCTCTTTGTGCTGTATTTCATGTCTCCCCAACCTGCTAGCCTTGCTGAGCCATTGTTGAACTGCAAATCATAGTAGCTTCCACCCGCATGTCTAATGATGAGGGTCACTGGGAGTTGCAGTTCAGGAGGGCCAGAACCTCCCTATCACATATTCACACACAGACCCACACTTGAAATACACACATACACACACACACACATACAGTACACGTGTATCAGCAGATTAGAGTGATGGTTGGTTCCCATCTGTATTTCAGGAAATATATATGAAGGCCTCCAAAGAGATTGATGGTCCCATCAGTTCAGCTCACCAATGGGTGGACATGAGTAACATCACTGTTCAGCTCAACTCTACTCATACGGTAGTATACCTCCATTGCCACATTCTAGGCAGACAATAACAATGTAGGAGCATTTATAATGCAGACCTTAACTGTTTGCAATGCTTTTCCAAAGGGTAAAACATGTAAAGCAGCCTTG